ACTTGTTGTCCGAATTTAGAATTTGTTAGCCCTTGTGCTGTTAAAACTTGTTAGCCTATGTGCTTTACGGATGTTGGAGTTGTCTCGAAACGAACAACCACTCGAGATGTTCGTATCGCTCACCTTCCGTATTTGACGTCCTGTGTTCTGAAAACATAGAAATTATAAACATCATCAAGCGTCAATTCTGTACTAGTTATTATTGTCTATTCATTGTGATTTGTGAACTTTACAGCAATTTCTCATCATTATTATTGTACTGCTTGTAGTGGAGGCTACATATACCCTAACAAATTTATATGAGGGAAGAGAACATCACACTTAGATACCGGCAAAAGTAACCTTACTGCCATCAAGAGAGGGGAAGCATGCATAAGTATTTTATATCAGCTATGCTAGGAGGGTACTGAATAAATAGGGTAATAAATGCTCTTTCCAGAGGGATACAATTTACAATGAAGAATATGAGATATTATTTGTTTAAGGACAACACACAGCATTATAGAAAAATATAGGCAATAGAGAAGGAAGTAAAAGAAAGCTCTGACCAATTGTTATAAAATTTTACAGCATCTATGACTGTATACCCTTTGTGCCAGAGCATTTCAAGTATAGATATGGTCAGTGCTTCTTCCACCTCTTTTTATGATTCTGCTGGGTACCTTAGATTTTTGTTTGGGGCTTAATTAAAAATGAAATCTGTTTTCTGTGACTTGTACTCAAATTTAAAAGGCATAAATATATTTTAAGATTCAAAGGAATAGTGTAGACTGCAAAGAAAATTAAAACCAACAATGAAGTTGATACTTACACAAGGCAGATCCAAAAACTATAAGCGCTGTATAGGATGTTGGAAGATGAAGATAGGTGTGTGTGTCTTACAGAAATATATTTGTCTTATGCAGACAAATTGGTCTCCCACATCACTCTAGATAGATATATTTCTAAACTTAACCTTGCTGACAAAATTCTTAAAAAAAAACAGATGAAAACATGAGTGCATTTAGGAGCCTGAACATTCTGCAAAGAGCAAAGGACGGGTCAGGGCTCCCAGTGCTAAATGCAAGACCTCCCTTTGATTACATGTTGGAAGCATTTATGCTACTGATTTACCACAGGGAACAGGCCTTCAGGTTGGATCTCATGAAGCAAATCCACCCAAGCAAGGGGAGGGTGATTTTTTGCCAACCCCTCTCTCCCACAGCAGCCCTCCAACTCCCCACTCATGCCGTTCGGGGGGGGGTCCCCATTCTCCAGGAGCAGCCTTTTGGGAGGAATGGTGGGCTGCAGCAGGAGGGTGAAGGTGAGAAAGTCACGCTATGACAGTGCAAGTCCTACCACTCACAGTAAATTTTCATGGGCTCAAAGAGTTGATGTGATACAGAAACTCTACACCAGGGGTGTCAAACATGTGGCCTGGGGGCCACATCAGGCCCCCGGAGGGCTTCTATCAGGCCTACAGTGGAACTGGCTGTCTTCTGCTTCTTCTTCCAGTACTGCTGCCGCTGCGTCATCATAGGTTTGTGGCTTACAAATACACACCTGAACAGCATCCTCGAGATTGCAACAGCACAGACATTTTGATGCAATAATTCAGAGCAAGAGGTGTCAGTTATCAGACACTGTTACATAAACAAAATATTGCAAGAGTGCTAATGTTTTAAGCATGTTTTTATTTTAAGTAAAAAAAACACCTTTGTGTTTGTGTCCTTTATATAGTTTATATCTCCACTACCTGGCATTACATTTTATGACACACATGGCCCAGCCCAACAAGGTCTCATTTATGTCAGATCTGGCCCTCATAACAAATGAGTTCGACACCCCTGCTCTACACATTTTAGGAGAGGACAACATTTGGCCTCTTGGATCTTATCTTGTGGACTCAATGCTCCTAATAACAGCACAACTTTCTGGCAAGTGGAACCTGATTTCCTCTTGGTTTTAATGGCAACTATGTTTACCTTTCCCT